CTGCTGGTTGGTGACCTGCACACAGCAGGGCTTGGAGCTGGATGAGCACTGTGCTCCTGTGCAACCCAGGCCATGCTATCATTCTGTGATACAATTCTATGAATAGGAGCTGCATCACATGCATTTCATTTTAGATGGAACATTCAGTGCAGTTAGAAACCAATTTGTCTCCCCATTTCTCCAAAATTTGGCTCAATCACGTCAGCCTTTATAAAGCCCAGCTCTGAGTTCTGCTGACTGGAAAAGGCTATTTTCAGCAGCAAGAAAGTACAGCTCTAAAAAAAAAAATGAAGTGCCCGTGATGATAAACCAGCCTGGAGATCTGTGAGCGAGGTGATGAATGGGAACAAGGCACCTGTTAACATCACTGTAACTACGTACCGTTTTTTATGAAGCAGTTGTTTGTCCTTACTGATGGACTTGGGCAGGAATACAGGAAGGGAAAGTGACTCTCCCCCCAAAAAGCAAAGTCTTTAATAGTGCAGTGAAGATATACACAAGCAAACCAGTGGCTTAATGAAAAAAAACAAACCAGCCACCAGCAAACAGTACACTAATAAGTGACAACGTAGCAGCAAGTCAGTTCCAGCACCAGCTGATTTCCTCCTATCATTAGTTTGACCATAACAAAAGGAACCAATCCTTTTTATGAGAAAGAGTTTTTTTCTGTCCAATATTTTTATTAATTTGAATTATTTTAAGCAAGTATTTGACTGAACAAGAAGCCAAAACAGCGAACCAAAAGGAACAAAAAGCTCTGCAGGGAACTATTAGATAAAATGACAATTACCATTTTGATACCACAAGCATTACCTTGTGCTGTGCAAACTGACAACATCCCTAGCAATGGGACCTATGCAGAGTAAAATTAAGACCAAAACTCAGTCAGGCACAACCTTGGAAAATCACCAATGGAACCACACTTCACTTCAATCTCTCTCAGTTTTACTCTTCCATAGTAGCACAGGATGGTTCCTGGATTTCCTGGATCCAAGCACAATGCAGCATGGTGTTTATTTCTCTGTCTACTTGTATTTCTGTACCAGGACACTGTGACTTACTCCAGTATCACTCAGTGAAGTGCCAGATGAAGCTTGAGCAGGACAAAAATGCCCATTGCTGTTGACTATTATTAAGGACTCTCCCACAGCTCATCAGATGCCATCTTTGAATACCAACTACAACTTCTCCCAACCCAAGAAAATGTGGAGCAAAGATACTTACTTGAATGAGATGTAAAACTGATGCAGAGGCAGTTTCACCAATCCCAGCAGTCTGTCACTACCAGGGTTTCCCACCTTGTTCCATGCTTCAATAACCATGATGTTGTTCTTCAGTCGCTCCAAGTGTTTGGAAGTCAGGGAAAAAGGCATCACCTGCAGAGTTTCATATGGGATCAGGACACAGAACACACTGAAAGCTATTTGCTAAGCACTGAGCATTCTAGTGACCCTATGTTATGGCACAAAACTGTGTCCTTTAGTCAATTTCCAGTCATAAACCTCAACTTTCTTTGGAAAAAAAAAAAGAGAGAGAAAAAACAAAGGGGAATGAGAAACTGCATCTCATACTGTGCCATACAGCCAGACAATATTGGAAGTAGTTTAAGTGCAATGGGCAGGGCCAGGCAGAGAAGTCCCTAGGTGGGTAAGGACAACTAACCTTCAAAAGGTCTGTCACTGTGCAATAGCACATTTCAACCAGTTTGACACAGAAAAGAGGGGACTTGCCTGAGAAAAATTAAAGGTAGGCTGCGTTGTACCCCACACGACTGCAGATCTTGTTGCCTCCTCTGTGTTGAGCAGCTTGCAGTTCAAATACACGTTACAAGAAGTGTGGAGTCCACTATTTTCAGCAACAAAATCCTTCCCATCAGGCACCATCAGCAGCACATGCAGTAACAACCCATCATCTTCAGCTGCAGGCAATCGTGTCACCAGATTACGGGCCACAGGGGTTGCAACAGACCACGGTGGCTGCACATTTGTGCAGGCTGCTCCTGTCTTGTTTGAGTCCACGTTGTTGCTTAATTTCAAGCAGCTTTCTGCATTCACACGGTCCCTGTTGGGCTCCCAAAGTTCCATCCGAGGACTTCTTATGGCATGAGGTGGGATTTGCTGCTGCACAGCCACCGAGCACCTGGCAGTGGTGTAGGTGAAGTCCTTGTTGTCAGCTGCAAGCTCTACTGATAACTGCATTGAACAAAGCAAAGAGCTGATGGGAAGATGTGTTCCATATCAAGACAAGAGACAGCAAGGTGAACTTGGCAACAATGCATTGCCTGTTTTGTTTAAAACTGTGTTGGATTATCACTCAGGGTGCTTACCTTTAGGCACAAGCTGTGACTGCAAAATGGACTGCACCAAGTAGTAACCCATGTATGCTTAGCCAAGGTGAAAAGCTCTTTGAGCAAGTATCTCATCTGTCACTGTTTTCACCTTGTACAACTACTGCTAGAGAAGAGCTGTGCCAAAGGAGAAGTGTTTCTTTCTCAATGTTATCTTACATCTTTACATTCCCTGTTGGCTTTAGCTGTCCCTAAATCCTTGTCCTGCTGTGGGCTCCTATTTCTTCTTTTCAATTGTGCTGCACTTGTCTTCACTTTTCCTGTTTTTATTTCTTTATTATTGTAATTATTATTAATTGATAAACACTCTGTCCTACATCTGAGTTACCTCTTCGTGTTGTCAAGATTTCAAACAGTCAGACAGGTATGGATGAAACCATGTGTGAAATGACAAAAGAAACACCAGAACGTGGGTTAAAAGGACTGTTATGGATAAGACAGCAAGAAGAGTAAGAATAAATTGAATTCAGAACACAGGGCAGTATGATGAAGAAAGGACTTGAGCCATAAAATGCCCAGCTGAGGAAAGCAAAATAATCCTGCTGACAGGTAGGTATTACACTGAGTAAAATCCAACAGATGGAGTGACCAGAATCAGTTTTCTTCAAAATAAAGATCAGTTTTCCCTTCCGTAAGTCATTGCACTGAATTCTGTTTCACTGGTTTCCTACAGTGTCTCCTTCCACTTCTCTTCCCCTATACCTAACCTCAATGTGCTGTTTTGCTCTCTTCTGTGGCTCCTCTACTAACAGCTCAACTTCTATGGGGTCTCTGCCAATGTTAGGGGAATTGGAACTAGATGATCTTTAAGATCTCTTCCATCCCAAGCTATTCTGTGATTCTATAAGATGGCCACTAAGTTTCATAGGTCCATATGACAGAGAACATCAGGCGAGTCCTGTAGTGTCAGAACCAATGCACACTCACATCCTTTGGGAATAATTCAGTTCTGAACGTAAAATGTCTAAATATTCTCTTCACCTTTCACTTCTTAACTTAGGGAGCTCTTTATCTTCAGAACTGGCAAGCCTCTCAATTGTGCTGTGCAGAACTGCTACTCCTCAATCAGAAGCCAAACATGCTGATAGAATCTCTGGCTCAAGAAGGCAACTCCTGAAGACACGATCTGCTACCGATGGAAGGAACATCAGATCTCTGTCAGGAGAGATCTGAGATCACATCATGTGTGAAACCAAGGAACGCAGATCTGCTGCCTTCCTGTTCTCATACACCAAGGCTCCCAGCCTTGAACACGTTCCACACAAAAAGCAGAGTGGTTTCTCTCTCCAAGCCCTTGGAGAGCCTTGGTGTAGGCTAACTGACAGCTTACTGACAGCTGTTTTATTCTGCAGGCAGAGGAAACTCACACAGTGAAATCCTTAAAGAAGGTTCTAAATATTTCTGTGACAGCTTGAGGGAAAATAAAAATTAAAAAAAAAAAAAAAAAGAAGTTTCATGCTTTGTTTTCTTGTACCTTCATACCTGAGACTTGACAAATTAAAGGAGAAAATATATAAAAACAGAATAGCCAGCCAAAATAAGTAACAACAGGTGGTTTAGCACAAAGCCCAAGTAATAAAAAAACATACCTTCAGGGGTCCAACTTGTATCTGATCTCCCTCTTTTTCTACAGGTATTTCACAGCTGAAGGTGAGGAGTTCTGACTGAATGACCTTGCACAGCTGAAGCACTGCTGAGCCAATGGCCACTGGCTGAGGGTAAACAAGAACATATTTTGTAAGATTTCTGTGAAGGTTAAATAGCTGCAGGCATGCTGTCAAGAAAAAGCCTCTTGAAAGAGCTGGGAAATGATGGTCAGCCACTCACCCTGCCCACTCATACACCATCAGCTGCACTAGCAGAGATTTGTAGGAAAGCTTCCCTTGCTTCCTGTTTCAGGTGTCACTTGGATAACAGTCAGGTTCTAGCACCTTCAGGATGCTAGACAACACAAAAATTAACATCCCAAATCCCCACAACTGGGAGAGATTTCCATTCTTGAAGACACAATTTATGAATCCACTAAAAGAAAAGCTCCTTTTTCAACAGAAGGGCGTTGTTTAAAACAAAACACAGGCTGAGTAAATATCTCTAGCTGCCTTTCAGTGCTTGTAGATGATTATGCAGATACAGCTCCTTCCATCCACTCGCTCCAAGTAAAGATTTTTTTCCTCTAAATGCACAAGTTGTGCCATTATTCCTCTCACCCTGGTCATGATATCACCTGCATCCACATTCCCTCACTCTATCTATCTCTAAACAAGCTCTGCTCTCACTGGAGACAAATGCTTGTAATTGATTCAGCGTGCTTAAACAGCAAGAGCTCAGTTTTAGAGACGAGGGAAGGACAATTTGTTTCTTTTTGCTTGCCAGTCTTGAGCTCAGAAAATGATTTAGCTGGGTGACAAGATTGAACAGCAACTTCTTCAGCTTACAGAATCCACACGTAGTGTTGATTCCTTTCATAATGTCTGGCAGTGGTTGTTAAGAAGTGGCTCAGTCAAGCCACAATAGTTTGTTTTGTCTCTGAAGCTAAGAGGGCAGGAATGGGAAGGAAGTATTGCAGAAGACTTGGAGAAGACACTACTGAGTGTGTAAGCATTTGAAGGGAATCGAATTGCCAAGGCTTTCTTGCTTCTCAATACACAAAGCATAAACAACTACTACTAATACCTTTCTTTGTGTGCTTTTTCGCATGTAGATTTTAAAAGCAAGGTCAGAGCTCCACCAGTGCTCTATCATGGTTCCACCAAAACGGACAGGGAACACAAATCGCTGCTGGAATTTCACCACTGCAAGGAAGACAGAGACTTGTGAGCTCTTAGCTGGAGCTAAGCTACCTTTCAGACTTCTTCAGAAACAGAAATCTTCAGTAGTGCAGGGCGAATAGGGACACAGAAAGTTCAGGAGGCAGGAGAGGAAGGAGTGGCTGTAGAGGAAGGTGGACAAATGCACAGGGAACATCTCTGCCCATCTGCCAGAACGAGCAGATTAAGCAAGGCTGGCAGCTGAAAGGGAAGGGCTGCTAGAATCTCTCAACGTTTCTACCTATTAATTCATGCCGCAAGCGTGTGAATAATTAACTTGGTTTTTCTCTCACAGGAGCAACAAAAATTCAGAACTAATTGAATATTAATAGACTTTCATGTGGAGATAATCACACCTCTGATATACACATGAACATCTAATTTTGCTTTACTTGCTAACATCAAGCCAAAAGTAAACTGCTGTTCATCTTCGAAGGCCAGAAAACAGCAGGAGTGCAGCATGACAAAATTAATACTATAATAGCATGTAAAGGCTACAGATATGTCTCTGTTGTCTTATCTTGGAGAGGGTCAAAAGCTGAGCTGCAAGAACGGGTTCAGGAGAAAAGCATCTGCAAGAAAAGGCTGCATGGTGTTTAGTTTGGAAAAGAACAAGTACAGTAGCAGAGCTGAGGTAGCAAGATGCCCTTGCTCACCATAGATAAAATAAGGAGCCTTGTGATGACAAAAATTCAGGTAGGCCATAAGGAAAATGTACTGACAGGAAGGTCAGCACTTTCACAGCCTGCCCAGGGAGGCTAAGGAACCCCTCTTATTGGGAATCTTTAATAAATGAGATAAGCAGCTCTCAGGGAAGACAACTGCACAGTGGATTGACTGCGTGGTTTCTTCAAATTATTTCCAACCTCATCAATTTTTCTAAGTTCCAGAGAACTGCAGTCTAAGGACACAAGGCAAAGCGTGGGGGGCTGTGTTATCCTTGTGTTACAAAGAGCCAAGGTTCAGAAGATGCTCTGTCTCTACACAGATGGAGAATTCCCAAGAGAACACAATAAATATGACCCAGAAAGAGCCAAAGCCAATGAATGGGAAAGTCAACTGAATACAACCCTGGAATTCCAGTTTCTGGGAAGACAAGGCATAGAAGATCTCACCCATGCACCACTCCTTGCTCAATGAGGGCAAAAAACATAACCTAAATTAATCTCAGAGACACCAAGAGTGGCAATTCTCAGTAAAGAGATGAAGGTCTGCTGGTTTGAGCATAGAACTTGCCAGGATCTCTCGGACCCAGGAGACTCTTTGAGCTCTTGCACGTTTCAGCATCTGGAAAAGGCAGCTATTTATTTGAGATAGAAGTGCCTGATATTTCTAGAAGTATTTCTTCATCTTGAATATCACAGAAAGAATACTGATTTTGTGTTTTACGGTTTCCTCTTCCCAGAGAGGAGAGTTCCATTGCCCACAGTGCACCAACTCTCCAGAGGTGCCACTAATTGGAATATAAAATTGAAGCATTTTTCAGGCAGCAAACAAATAGGTGAGAAAACATTTGCTAAGAGATGAAGCAGTTGACAACAGGGAACAGAAGATGGGACAAACGATGATCTTACCGCCGTCTGTGATTTTACTTGAAGCTATTCGAGTTAATTCTGTCGTTAAGGAGACTTGGCCTTTCTCATTCTTGGAGGCTCCCACAGGAAAGCTGTACTCCACAAAGAAGGTACTGTGAGCAAACAAAGCACAGAATGAATTCGTGATCACAGTCCAAAGTGGATGCTAACGCACACAGCAAAACCAAACACAGAATCATAGAATCATAGAATCACCAAGGTTGGAAAAGACCTCAAAGCTCCCCCAGTCCAACCGTTCACCTATTCCCAACAGCTCCCACTAAACCACGTCCCTCAACACAGCATCCAGCCTTTCCTTGAACACCCCCAGGCTCGGTGCCTCCACCACCTCCCTGGGCATCCATTGCAGTGCCTGACCACCCTTTCTGACAAGTAATACTTCCTCATGTCCAGCCTGAATCTCCCCTGCCGTAGCTTGAAGCCATTCCCTCTGCTCCTATCACTGATGACACGAGAGAAGAGGCCGACCCCCAGCTCACCACAACCTCCCTTCAGGAAGTTATAAAGAGCAATGAGGTCTCCCCTGAGCTCCTCTTCTCCAGGCTGAACATTCCCAGCTCCTTCAGCCTCTCCTCATCAGCCCTGTGTTCCAGACCCCTCACCAGCTTTGTTGCCCTCCTTTGAACACGTTCCAGGGCCTCAATATCTTTCTTGCAGTGAGGGGCCCGACAAACAAACAAAGCAGATGAGCTTCAAATCCACAATTTATCAAGTCGCTCTGTTTTAAAAGAGTAAATCACAGAATCCTTAGAGCTGGAGGGAACCTTGAAAGGTCATCTAGTCCAAGTCCCCTGTACTGCACAAGGATATGCCCTGCTAGATCAAGTTGCTCAGAAGGTTCAAGTCAAGTTCTGCTCTAATAAAACACCTTTTGCTTTCAGAGTTCAGCAGTGCACAAAGCACACTGTCCCAAAATGCTGGAAAAAATCCAGCCTGAAGTGAGACCAAACCAGGACAGATTATTCACACCTCTAAATCCATAGTATGCAATTTGCCAGGATGACCAGAGAAACAGGAAGACCTCAAAAGCCTGAAAAGCCTGGGCAAGCCTGGCTGTACAACAGAGCTCAGCAAAATCTACTTCCAAGGCACAGATAACAAGCCTTTAATGAGGGCTAATAAGGTTTGTGAAGGGCTTGGAGAATATACCCTACAAGGAGTAACTAAAGGAAATGGGGCTGTTTAGTCTGAAGAAAAGAAGGCTGAGAGGAGACCTTATTGCTCTCTTCCAATACCTGAAAGATGATGGCAGCAGAGCAGGGTTGGTCTCTTCTCACTGGTGACAGGATGAGGGGAGATGGCCTCAAGATGTGCCAGGGGAGGTTTAGGTTGGATATCAGGAAACACTTCTTCACAGAAAGGGTTGTTAAGCACTGCAATGGGCTCCCCTGGGAGGTGTTTGAGTCACCATCCCTGGATGTGTTTAAAAACCCTTTGGATGTGGTGCTCAGGGATGTGATTTAGCAGAGGGCTGTTCGTTAGGGTGGGATGGCTGTGTTGAGGTTGGACTCAATGACCTTTAAGGTCTTTTCCAACCTCAGCAATTCTATGATTCTATGGTAACACTTCAGTGAGAAATAATCCATCTTACCACTTATTAACTGAAGCAGGCCTCGGAGGCTTCCCCATTAAACCTTTCTTTCTTGATGTAGTCTGGTTGCTTTCAAGAGAGATTCTCAGGCTCTCAATGATGACTCTGGCCAGGTGTATTCTCCCCAGCAAAGCCAACCTGTCAACACTCAAGGCTGTGACATGAGCTTCTTCTGTGTCAACATGTGGAGGAGCAAACTGTCTGGTAGAAGAGCAGCTGCAGAGATAAAACTGAGAATCACACTCTTAACACAACTGTGTGAAGGTAAAAACTGCAGCTTGGTGGGACATTATCTGTACACGACTCACAGTCCATGAAAATGCACATTTTTAATGTACATTTCACAATTAATTTGGTGGTCTCTGGAACAGGGATCATACCACACACGGTATCTAGGGTACTACTTAAACCAAACAGCACAAATGAGCATGTTCCATGCTGCTGGAGCTTTGCCAAATGCTTACACAGTTGAACCCTTCAAAAAGAACAGGTTTATTTCATGTGACACACAGACAGGGCAGAAGAAACTGCCTGGTTCTGTCACTGCTGCAGAGGAACAGAAGACTGATTTAAAATCTCACTTGAGCCTTATTTCTCAGACTTGATTTGTCAATGGTTTTGTGCTGGTACCTCTGGAAATACAAACTTTACTTCTATGTAAAAAAAATACAAGTATTTGGAAGAAAAAAATCATAAATAATGAAATAGTGATGAATTAGGAAAAAAAAATCCAGCCTTAATACTGCTGGTATTGAATACTAAATCCTGATGATCAGATTTTTGAGGGACACACAACTGAGAAACTTATAATTCACTCTTGCTTACTGTAATTTCTTGGTTATCTGCTAGAATTGAGAATCTCTCACATGTGTGCCTGTGAATTAGCAAAAAAATGAACCTTACACTGCTGGCTTTGTAAAACAGAATGTTTATTTCCTTGTTTAAAGAAAATGTGTGATAATATGCAATCTGAGTAATACACCCAGCATTAAAAAGATATCACTTCAAATCTTCTCAGTTCCTCACCTGAACTACTGGAAAGTCAAAGAATTAGAAAAAAATAACTGAATATTCTGGGCCTTCATTGGTTCTGATGTGGGGAAAAAAAAAAAACACCACAAAAACAAAATAAAATGTAGTTTAGAGCAGGTCAGAACTGAAGAAATTTACATCCTACAGATATAGCAGAGAACACTGAGCAGTGAAGCAGGCTCTCTGATGTCAGCTCCATCCCTGTAAAGTGGATACATACTCAGTACATTGTGTGACAGAGCACACAACAGAGCACTAAGAGCTGCTTACAATAAGGAAGATGCTACTGAATGAGTTGCTGATGTAATTATTTACCTGGGTTTAATTTCTGTCACCTTCTGATCCTGATCTGAGGCAGTGGAATCCTTCTGTGCATTCACAGCATCAGCTTTCTTCACAGTTTTTGTTTTGCTTCCTTTTTTGGAAGGGTTCACATCTTCATCACTGAGGAAATCACTTAAACTGGAATCTGACTTCTGAAACAGAGGTAATGCACATCAACTAAGAAGTGTGCTGTCACCATCAAGATTTACAGAGGTCATGATAAACTAAGAAAAACCTTAGCTTGTGGATTGCTTAATGTGAAGTAATTCAAACCGTGTACAGAAATGGAATCTTCACAGACTCAAGGTTTCCAATCTGATGCTTGAATTTGTAGTCTTACTAATATTCCTTTCATATTATTAATTTCAAGCAAAGTTCTCACAAGTTTCTATAGGATACTTAATATTCATTAAGACTGATTCTGAAATCTATAGCTTTTTTCTTTCACTTTAAACACTTTCCTTCTGCTCTCCACTTACAGGTGTGGTGTAAAAAAGACTTTCAAGCAGACTCTGGTCATAGTGGGGATCATTGAGTTCACTGTCATACGCCTCACTCCCAATAGAAAGAGAATCCAGAAGGGAACCTGGCCGATCCCAGAAATGCACAGGAGACAAATCAGCACTGTGGACACAAGAGAAAGAAACACGACTTTGTGTTGTGATGCCATTTCTGCAGCCAGTTTCATACGAATTCTGACAACACTTCCTATTCTACACTGATTTTGTGCTACATTGTCTCTGCATGCAGCTTACACAGCACTGTGCCCACCTGACAGTCCTTGCACTGCATACTCCTGATTGGAACAGAGACAATGCAAGCACCAGTTACATTCTTGCTACTCTTCATAAAATGAGAGAAAGGTCAACTTGATATCTGGAGAACAATTAAAACTAACTAAACAGGTTCTCTCTTTTCACTTTACAGACTGCAAGCTTTTCACAGAAACAACGTATTTGTTTTATGTATATCTCAATATTTTAGGACACAACAGTTACCAGTATTGCAACTATTATTGGATGCCCCATCCCTGCAGGCATTCAAGGCCAGGCTGGATGTGGCT